CTGCTGACAAGGGCTTGCAGTGGACAGAGCGGAGCTCCTGGCAGCGGGGGTGGGGGCTGAACAAAGCCAGCCCGCCTCCAGACAGCCGAGCAGACCCAGACAGCAGGGATGTTCTGTGTGCCAGTGCGTGCGCGTGTGTTCTAAAACAAGCCCATGAGCCAAGACAAACAGAACCTAATCTCCTGGTGTCAGCTCACAGTCTTCAAAAATAGGTTGCTTCCCATGACGTTTTCTTCCTCTGTTTTGTTCCAACTCTGAGGCTCCCAGCCTCGCTGCCGTCTTTAAATCAAATGGAAAGAGCGGCTCTGGTACAGCGGAGGCTTCGGGAATCGGGCGCTCTGTGAACAGACATGGCCCGGCTGCCGGCCAACTCTTCAGTCATTCCTGACATCTCTCCTCCTGTTCCTCCCCATCTATCAGAAGCCAGCCAGGGAGGGTCTCCCAAGGGCCGAGGTCAGATCACACAGTGAGCCTTCCATGTGGGAAAAGGCACAGGCTGCTGGGAAAGTGGCAGGATCAGCTCATCCCCAGGACCCCTTAGTGCAAGTGGAGGGCAGCCAGATGGCTAGTAGAAGCTGTCAGAGCTCACAGGACTGGCCAGGGCCATGGAAGTAAACGCTTTTGTCACCAGCCCAAATGTTCACGCCAACAAAAGCCGCTCAGTCTTGAGTGTGAGCTGCTGGTGGAGGCGGAGGAAATGGGAAGAGAGGAAATTGGAGGTGTCAGCCCTGGATACACTGTGTGACAGACCATGATGATGGGTGGGTTTCATCCCGATCGCTTCCTGGGAGTCAGAGCCGTTCTGCTGCAGCCTCGCCGCAGCCCTGCCGCAGCCCCGCGGAGGGCAGAGCAGCCCCGGTGGCACTGGGCCTGAGGACTTGGGGGGTTACTGTGGTTGAGGGAGGCGGAGGCCACTCCACTCCCCTGCGCTGTCAGCCTCGCAGGAGCTCCCGGGAGAGGAAGCCGCCGAGGGACCCAGCAGCTCCTGTGTGTGGGCCTCTGCGCTGGGCTGGGAGACCTCCAGGCAGCAGCCAGCTCCACACCTACGCTGAGTCCCTCCCGCCTCGTTCTTAGCAGCAGCTGTCGGTCAGCCCGTGGAAGCCCTTGGTCAGACTTTGGGGAGCAGCACAGCAGGGCAGGAAGGCGCCACTCGTTCAGCCGCTCAGCCGCGGACTGAAGAGCTGGTGATGCTCGCAGGCCCTGGCCCATGGAGCATGGCGGGGTCACAGTCACCAAGGAGGGATGGGGATCCTGTTTGCGTGCTACTTGGTGCCGGGCGCAGGCACGGCGGCCACAAGCTGGAGCTCCAGCCTGTCTCCCAGTACCTGCTGCTCTGTCCGTCTCTAACACCAGCAGAAACACATTCCACGTTCACACGTAGGACCTTAAATGCTTGAGCCTGCCGTGACCCAGTCTCGGGGTGCAGATGAGGCTATGGGCAGCCCACCTTGAGGATGGCCAGGCAGTTCTCAGCAGGGGACGGACATTAGAAGTTGGGAGCTCCATCCCCTGAGAACCCTCATCTCTTTCTCCCGTACTGTTGGCTCTCTCTGCCCGCCCCCCTCTCCCCCCCCGCACACACAGGCACTGCGTGGGGCCTAGCGTGGGCTGCACCCACACCGCTGAGGTCCGCGCCTTCACTGCGGCCTGGAGTCCCCACTCGGGACTCTAGTGAGCCTGGTGCTGTCGTTTGGTGCCTTCTGTCTCTTTCAAATTAGCTTTTTGAATTTTGTCTCCAGTTAATAACTTTTAATTAATTCAGTGATGCTCATAAGGGCATTCCTACGGCCAGGCACCAATGGTAGAGAACCTTTCTGCATGCTGTCCACGAAGAGGAGGGGCAGGCATTGATCACCCTCTCGCTCCCCTCTTTCTGCATCTCATTTCAACAAAACACTGGGTGGCCAGGATCGTTTTCCGTGGAGAAATCTGGTTTATTCTACACATTTAGCTTCATTATTCCCCTTTCTCTTCAACAAAGAACTTCTTCACCCACCCCCACCCCCCGCAGCTCTAGGAGCAGGTCTTCAGGACCCTGTTCCATGCTCCCCAGGACAGGGAGGGGGTTTGGAGGACACCTAGAGCGAGGACCTAAGGGTGGTTCTGTGAGGTGGGGATATGCATGCCCTTGAAGAAAAGATCAAGTCATTGGGATCAATTAGACAGAAAAGAGGATATTTTAATAAGATGCTCTGATAGGTGAGGGCTTTTGCACAAAGAACAGTAACCAGCTGTTCTCCCTCTCTGTTGAGAGCCAGACCCAGAGGCCAAAGCCCAGATTGTCACCATTTAAGAACTTCCATCCCAGCTGTTGCGCAGCGGGAAGGCTGCCCAGCGAGTGAGCGAGCGGGCTCCCCATGTGAGGACGGGACGGGAGCTGCTCTGCCCGGAGGTCTGGAGGCAGGGGAGGTAGAGCAAGATCTCCCACGGCACAAGCGCAGCCTGGCTGTGGGGGACCCCGTGGAGGCCACGCGGTGCTAGCTGGTGCGGTGGTGGCAGAAATCTTAACATTCTAGTCCTCCTCTCACCATCTAGCTCTTTGTCATTTCTCTTCCTGTTTAATTTTGTTTTAAGACAGTAACTTACAAGGTTAAAGCATGGACATGTAAAGCTTTCTCTCTGACTCAGACCCCGGGCGGACTCCCTGGGTGCTCCTCTGGGGTCGGGGAGGGGAGGCCCTCCTGGGGGGTCCGGGCAGCTTCCTTGTCATCCCCTGGCGGTGGTGGGGCCAAGGCAGCAAGTGCAAGGCCAGAGCAGGTGCTTCTGGCATCCCTGCCTCCTGCTCCAGGGTGAGAGCTAGCAGAGGCCTCAGAAACCATCTGCCTCTTCCCACACATTTCCGTCAGGGACTGGAACTCTTCTCCACAACCAAGCCCTCCAGAGGACCAGTGTGTTTAAAACAGGTCAAAGCAGAGTTGCCCGGCTGCTGCAGGGTCGGTGCCCCAAACCCCTGCTGTGAGGCACCTCAGAGGTTCACCATTTCTGCACCCCTTGTTTTCCCCAGGGAGACAGAAGCCAGAGAGTGCTGGAGGCTGGGGCGCTAATGCAGGGGACAGGGCGAGGACAGTGACGGGAGCTGGTGGTCTGAGCAGAACAGGGTGCAGAGCATTTTATTTGTTTATTTATTTATTTTTACATATTTTTACTAGAGGCCTGGTGCACAAATTTGTGCACAGTTGGGGTCCGGCCAGCCTGCCCTGATGGGGGCTGATCGAGGCCAGTCTGGCAGAGGCTGGGGATGCAGGAGGTTGTGGGGAGCCAATTGGGGCCCCTATCAGGCCTGTTGGCCACTGCAGTGTGTGTCACTGTTCCGGTCGCTTGGCTTTCGTATGTATAGATTGATTTCAGAAAGAAAGGAAGAGAGAGAGGTAGAAACATCAATGATGAGAGAGAATCATTGATCAACTGCCTCCGGCAGGCCCGCTACTGGGGATGGAGCCCGAAATCTGGGCATGTGCCCTTGACTGGAATTGAACCCGGGACCCTTCAGTGTGCAGGCTGATGCAGGTTCAGAGCACTTGAGATCAAGGTCCTCCTCCTGCCTCCAGCCCAGCCTGGTACTGCTGGTGGGATGGTACTACCTACCTGGGCTGGTTTGGCCCGGGTGCAGCTGGTACAGGCCGGGGGTAGGGAGAGAGCGGTTATGAGAATCCAGTGATTTGCTTAAAGCCCTCCTCTTTCCAGGAATGGTCCTGCCTTCTCCAAAAACCGAAAATGGTAGTCTTAGGGAAACCAAGAATGAGAGTCTGTTCATAGAAAAACCCAGAACGTCCAGACACTGGACTTGCTTCTGGCCCTATTGACCAAGAAAGACTGACAGCAGCATCCCGGCTGTGCAGAGGGCTGGCAGCAGGGCAGAACCGAGACAGAGGCCGTAGCCAGCTGGCCAGGGCCCAGGACCCCAGCGCCAGAGCATCTCCACAGGAAGCTGCCTTTTATACGCAGCTGCCAAACATAGGTACTTCAGTCTTGAAAAATACAGCTGCGCTACGGTGCTTCTGGGCTGCCCCCCACGGGCCAGGCTTCTTTCCTCAGCTGCCCCTGCTGCCAGGGAAGGAGCCCCCAGGCTGAGCCGCCTGGGAGAGTGGCCAGCGTAGAATGGCCTGGATGTGCCAGCAGCACCCTCCTCCTTCGCCATGGTCTGCTTGCTCTGTGGTGAGCTGACCTGTCACGGTCCCTCCCCTGCTCTTCCCTGCAAGGTCAGGCCTGGCACTCATCCCGTCCACAGTGAATCTCTGATGGTGTCATAATACACCCCTGCCGTTGCTGCGGGTACAGACACACAGAGCTCGTCGGGCAGCAGGGTCTTTTCCTGTTACCAGTCAGTTTCCCACGTGGCCACCCCTGTCAGCCAGCAGCTCCGCAGTGGGGCGTGGTCCTGTGCAGCTGCACAGCAGGCGAGTACAGTGTTTGCTGCTGCACCCACTGCGCGGGCCAGAAAAGAGGCCCCACCTGAGTGTCCCAAATAGGAGAATGGTGCGATACATTATAATACACACAGGAGTGAGACTGAAGTGGCAGGAAAGTTGTCTGGAACGTTCTGTCGAAGAGAAAAGCCAGCTGCAAAGAATCCTCTCTTCTATTTTAAAACTGGTTTGTGCAGCATGTAGTGTGTCACCCCGCAGTCTGCGGGCCTGGACCTTTGTCTGTCTAGGGAACAGGAGCGGGTTTGCTTGGGAGTAAGGGGGCAGTGAGGGAGGCTTCCACTTTGCATCCTACCCACACCCGGCTTTATGAGCAAGAACGTACTCCCTTACGACTTGAGGAGCAGGGCACGTTTTCCCAAAGGAAAGAGATGTGGCCAAGGCCCAGCCAGGCTAGCCAGGCGTGTGTCCCCAGGAGCTGAACAGGACCTGCCGGGCCATGCAGCAGCGCGTGGTGGAGCTCATCTCGCACGTGTGCAACGAGGAGGTCACCGAGGAGCTGCTGCGCGTCAACGACGACCTCAACAACGTCTTCCTCAGATACGAGAGGTGGGCGTGGCTCCTTCCTTCCCCTCGGAAAGCTGGTGGCCAAAGCGGGTTTCTTTCAGGAACAGAGGGAGGGAGATTAGATTTGGAAACTACCCACCAGAGATGCTCATTTGCTCCAGGCGACAGGGGAACGGCTCTTATTCTCCTGGGAGCCTCTGCCCTTTGCCAGCCTCTGGCTGCTCTGCCTTCCTCACCACCTGCTCCAGGAGGGGAAGGACCGGCACCGGGCACCGGGCCCTGCAGCTGCTGCACCTGCCTCTTTAAAGACCCTTTGAGCTTGAAAAGGGTCAAAGGAAAAATATCCATAAGGAAAAAGACTTTTCTCTTTTCCATCTTAAAAAAAGGAGGTTTTTCCCTTCCTTCGCAAACGTCAGGGAGTCTGAGTGTCCGGCAGGGGCAGGAGCGCCGGGTGCTGCGTAGGGAGCACGTGTTCTCTCAGTTCTTCCTGCAGCCGGGCCACCATCGGGTTTGAGGTAACGACCTTGCAGGTCCTTCTCCCTTTCCAAAGCCTCCGGAAAAGCGCAGCCTCCGCAGCTGCAGGCCCAGGTGCAGGAGATAGAATGCAAGCAGCTCCGCCCGTGGCTCGGGCTCTCCCGGGGGCGCCTCCTACAGGCCCCTCGACCAGGCCTGCCTTCTTCTCAGTTTAAGCCCCAATCCCCTGGAGACTTGGGGTCCCGGCCCCTCGCTGACTCCTGGCATGACGGTCTGGCACCCGTTACGGTCAGTGTGACAGATACTTGCATTTGGGATCTGAGAGGGTGACTTTGCTGTGGTTGTCACAACCCTGGGCTTTGTCTCAGCTTTAACTGAGGCAACAAGGAAGGTGGCCCTGTCGGCTGACAGGTGAGGCGGCCTCCGCAGAGGGTGTTGGGCCAGCAGGGACGAGCCAATTGGGGACAGGAGCCAACCTGAGTGCCTTGACCCTTGGTCTTGCCTTGTGGTCCCAGTTTTAAATGGCCTGACTTTAACCTGTCAGGCTCCTTTCAGCCCCTTCGAGAACAGGTGGCAGGAGCTGTGTGGGCACTTCCAGTAGCCTGCCAGTCCCAGCTGACCACAGACTCAGAGCCTGGGGCCACCAGCCCTGGTGCCTCCCAGCCAGGTCGGGGAGGGACTCCACTCCTCCTGAGAGACCCTCAGCACCCCGTCCTCACCATGTCCCTCGTGGAGATCCCTGCTCACAGGCGCTGGCCCCAGCAGCCGGGACCCAGTGAAGTCTGCTTCTCCAGGTCCAGCTGAAAAGAGTCCGAGCTAGCCCTGCCCATGGCGTTTGGGAGCTTTTCAATGTCATGCAGCCGCTCGCCCCTCACAATCGCTCTTGTCTCCCCACCCGGGTAAGAGAGGAGGGTTCTGTAGCTGCTCTGAGCCAAGTCCCAGGCTGGGCGTGGCCTGGCACAGCCGCCAGGGACCCCTCCACGGCAGAGGGCGTGCCTGTCCTCCAGGGCCTGCCCCCTGTGACATAGGGCTTTAGCCTGGCTCGGCCCCCGTAAAATGGTTGGCCCAACCTCCCGCTCCAGTGACAGGAGGAGCACCTAGCCCAGGGCCTGAGGGGATGGCTGGGTGCTTACAATGGCCTGATGTGCCAGCCACCACCCTGCTCCCTCACCTCAGGGACCGTGGGTGAAGCCCACACAGGGGAAGCGGTGTGACGTGCGTGTGTGGGCCGCTCTCCCAGCCCTAACATGGGCCTGGTTGGTCTCCTTTCCTGGAACCTCGGTCCCCAGAAGCTCTTCACAGGACCCGTGGGCATCACAGTGCCACCACCCTCCCTTACGGGGCTCTCCTTCCTGTTAGGTTCGAGCGATTCCGGTCCGGCCGCTTGGCCCAAAACGCCAGCAACGGGGTGAGTACTCCCTGGGCCTCCGCGGGGCTCGAGGCTGGGAGGGCCGCCTCGGGCGGGGTTGGGGTCTCACTTGTTCCTTGACCTGGATGTAAATATTGGTGAAATGAGCAGCTCGCGCTGTCGACAGGCTGCTGAGGCAGAGCCAGCAGGCACATCCTGAGGGGCAGTGGGCAGGGCTCCCCGTGCCAGGGCCCACAGTGGACCCCTGGCTCCTGTATTGGCGCGGCGTTGAGACCACACTGTGCCTGCGGCTGAACCTCAGCCAGGGCCCCAGGGCTCACGGCTCACTGCACCTCCTGCTCCCACAGGTACTGAGTGAAGTGACCGAGGACAACTTAATAGACCTGGGGCCGGGGTCTCCCGCCGTGGTGAGCCCCGTGGTGGGGAGCACAGCACCCCCACCTTCCCTCTCATCCCAGCTTGCTGGCTTGGGTGAGTATCTCATGAGGGTGAAGGACCTCCTTCGCAGGCCCCTTCCTGGCAGAGTCGGGGCAGATGCCCTCTTTCTGTTGGAAGGCCCGAGAGCCTTTCGGGAGCCCATGGCAAAGTGTATTCCTGAGTCCTGACCAGTTGCACCACCTTCAGTTCATACCTGCTTTCCCTAACTTAAAGTTGTGACCTACATTGGAAAGCAGGGGTTAGGGGAGTTCCAAGGAACAGGAAGTAGTTTGCTTTTTAAAGAAAGACGGCTGCTGTGTTTTATCTGGAATATTCCTTGTGGTCGAAGCGCTTTCCTTCTCAATATCAATAAGGTAGGCCAAGGACAGCAGACAGGTTTCAACTCATGGGCAGCTTGGAACACAGGTCTAAGGGGGGTGCTGTCACCACTTCAGAGCTTGAAAGATGAGTCTGGGATTGATCGGTGATGTCTGCCACTGGCTTGGAAATAGGAAAGGACGGCACTGACATACTTGCTCTCCTTGAACTAACATTAGCTAAAGTATTCTATTGTCTGAAATCTGAAACAAGAAACACGACTTTTCCATAGTTCATTCGGTTTAAAAGTGTGACTGTGACCACTATAGTGCTGCAAATACACAGTATGATGCCAATTTATTGTATTATAGTATTGAAATAATAAGCATGGCCCTCTCAAAATTCTCTTATTAAATTTGATTTTAGAGAGGAAGGGAGAGGGAGTGAGAGAGAAACATTCATGGGCTGCCTTCTACACGTCCTCTACTGGGGATCAAGCTTGCAACCCGGACAGGTGCCCTGACCAGGAATCAAACTGACACCTCTTGGTTCACTGGACGATACCTAACCAACTAAGTAACATTGGCCAGGCTCAAAATTCTTTCTCCCATCCTGTTCTGTTTTCTTATCCTATACTAGAGGCCCGGTGCACAAAAATTTGTGCACTGGCAGGGGGAGGGGGTCCCTCAGCCCCACTTGTGCCCTCTCACAGTCTGGGACCCCTCGGGAGATAATGACCTGCTGGCTTAGGCCTGCTCCCGGGTGGCAGAGGGCAGACCCAATCCCTAGGTGCAGCCCCTGGTTGGGCTCAAAGCAGGGCCGATTGGGGAGTTGGGGCGCCACCCCCTGTCATGCACAGAGCA